TATTAAGCCATGAAACTATGTGGCGGAAACTTAAATGCATATTACTAAATGAAGGAAGCTAATCTGAAAAGGACTCATATGTATTATTCCAATTATATAACATTTTGGAAGAGGCAAAATTATAGGAGACCAGTAATAGGTGATCAGCGATCACAAGGAGTTAGGAGGGAGAGAGGGATAAACAGTCAAAACACAGAGAGCTTTTAGGGCAGAGAAACTATGCATTTGTCAACACATATAGGGTATAAAATACGAAGAATAAATCCTAATGTGAATTATGGACTTTGGACGATAATGATGTTCCAGAGTAGGTTTATTCCTGAAACAAATGTACCACTATGGTGGGGGCTGTCAGTACTAGGGGAGTGTGTGTGTGGAGAGTGAACATAAAGATCCTACATATTTTCTGCTCAATTTTGCTGTGAACTTAAAGCTGCCCTTTTTTTTTTTTTTTTTTTTTGACAGGTAGAGTTATAGACAGTGAGAGAGAGAGAGAAAGGTCTTCCTTCCATTGGTTCACTCCCCTAATGGCTCCTATGGCCGGCGCTGCGCTGATACGAAGCCAGGAGCCGGATGCTTCCTCCCAGTCTCCCATGGGGTGCAGGGACCCAAGCACTTGGGCCATCCTCCGCTGCCCTCCTGGGCCACAGCAGAGAGCTGGACTGCAAGAGGAGCAAATGGGACTAGTACCTGGTGCCCTAACTGGGACGAGAACCGGGGGTGCCGGCGCCACAGATGGAGGATTAGCCAAGTAAGCCCCAGCTTCAGCCAAAGCTGCTCTTAAAAAAAAGTTATTTTTTCAAAATTCAGTGTGACTATCATTTGCTGTTTATTTTTAAAGCTTTATTTATTTACTTGAAGGCAATTACAGAGAGTGAGAGTGACAGCAAGAGAGATTCTCTATCTACTGGTTCACTCCCCAAATGGCCACAATGGCCATGTATGGGCCAGGCAGAAGCCAGGAGCCAGGAACTTCATCTGGGTCTCCCATGTGGGTGACAGGGGCCCAACCACTTGGGCCATCCTCTGCTGCTTTCCCAGACACATTAGCAGGGAGCAGGATCAGAAGTGGAGCAGCTAGGACCTAAACTGGTGCCCATATGGAATGCTGGCATTGCAGGCTGCAGCTTTACCTGCTATGTCACAACACTGGCCCCCTCTTTTCCTTTTCTTTCTTTCTTTTTAAACAAGAGATATTTTGTTTATTTGAAAAGCAGAATTATGAAAGAGAACAAGAGAGACAGAGAGAGAGATCTTCCATCCATTGGTTCACTCCCTAAAGAGCCACAACAGCCAGAGCTGGGCTGGTCTGAAGCCAGGAGCCAGGAGCTTCTTCCGGGTTTCCTACATAGATAGCAGGGGTCCAAGCACTTGGGTCATCCTCTGCTGCTTTCCCAGGTACATTAGCAGGGAGCTGGATCGGAAATGGAGCAGCCAGGGCTTGAACTGGTACCCTCGTGGGATGCTGGCATTGCAGGTGTCAGTTTAACCCACTTTACCACAGCACCAGCCCAGTCTCAACAGTCTTGAAGAACACTGACCAAGTATCCTGTAGAATGTCCTCCAGTCTGGGTTCACGGGATTTTTTTTTTTTTTACATTTTAATTGGGTTTATACTATAACATTTTAAAATGAAGAAGAAAAGGAAGATATTCCCAGAGAATATAAGGAAAAGAAGGAGCCTTTGAATTATACCAGTCCTGGCATTTTTTTTTTAGGTGACTCTGATTGGAAAAAAAAAAAAACATTAATTCAACAAAAATTGAGCACCTACTATGTGTCATGCTCTGTTCTAGGCACTGAGACTCCATTAACAACAAAGTTTAGATTGAATAGTCATGAAAGGCCTCTTTGAGGAGGTAACCTTTGGGACCCCAAATAACAAGATGGGACTAGGCTAAGAGCAAGGACTTCAAGGGATAATGCCAGGCAAAGGGGGTCATTGATGCAAAGGCTTTGGAGGGCCAGACAAACTTTGTGTATTTAAAAAGCTCAGAACTGGCAGATTGGCTGGGTTGTTGGGGTCTAGGAGGAACGTGATAGCTATGTAGGGACAAAGCAGATGGGCTAGATTATATTGGGTTTTACAGGCCACGGCAAATAATGATGTGGATTTTATTTGGAGTGGGATGGGAAATCTTTGAAGGATTTAAGGATGAGATCTCTTATATTTTCAAAAGGTCACTCTAGATGGATTGTTGAGGGTAAGAGTAGAAACCAAGAGTCCAGTTAGGAGGCAAGTGGTCCATGCAAGAGAATGGAGGGATTGAAGTAGTGGTTAAAGAGAGAAGTGGATGGACTAGGAATATATATCAGAGGTGGAAGCAACAGGGTATATGATACTAATGAACTGAATGTAAAATCAGTATTCTCAGGTATTTGGCTTGATCAACTGAATTGACGATGGTATATGATTTATCACAGTGGGGGAGAACTGATGAAGGGTACATCATAGAAGGAAAGTAGAGGAGGGAAGTAGAGGGGGCTTGGAAATCAAATGCTCTGTTTAGGTCAAGTTTTAAGTTTCAGATATATTAAGCCTTCATAAAGGCAAATGGGTGAAGTGAATTCAGAGCCCATGGAGGGGTCAGGACTAGAGAGGGAAAATTCATATGCAAAATAAACACATGTACATGTACTCTCAGTAATAATCTACTAAGAATATTCAGTTATTTGTATTTGTCCATTTATTAGTCAATTCATACATTCATATACTTGCTCCATGAATATTTACCTAATACCAACCAACATACCAGGCTCTAGTATGATTGGGTCAATGGCCTCTAAAGAGAAGAGTATCCAACCAGAGAAGAAGGATTGTAAGGAGAAAATATGAGAACTCCCTTTCATATTTATTTTTATGTAAAAACATAACAAATTAAGCCTCAGTAGTATTTAACATTTAGATCAATAATGGCATCTCACTCCTCCTAAGTGAAAAGTATGAGTTCTGTAATGTAGAGTCATTCAGAAAGTCTTTCATTTTATTGCCTCTTAGTATAATGTGATTTATTCTAGTTTTATGTGTGCCAAGTTACATAAACTTACTGATGACATGATTGCTTCATTAAATCAACTCTTATTAAAATTAAAGTAGCTAAAAAAGATTTCCATGAAGAAAACATGAATTGGAGATAATAATGCAAGCATAAGCCATGATAATGGAGGTGACACCTCTAACATGAGCTCTGCAGAAGCTACCTCCGAGTAATGAGGACGACATTTTGAAAACAGATATTTGGAACTATTTCCATTATGTGATTTTGATGCAAAAATATGTCTGTGTGCTACTCTAGGCTGGAACTCTGGACAGGCAAATGAGTCATTCACATCAGGTGTGAAATTTAAGTGAGTGCCCAAAAATTCAGTCATCAAAATAAATAATCTTTTTTTTTTTTTTTTGACAGGCAGAGTGGACAGTGAGAGAGACAGAGAGACAGAGAAAGGTCTTCCTTTTGCCGTTGGTTCACCCTCCAATCGCCGCCGTGGCCGGCGCACCGAGCTGATCCGATGGCAGGAGCCAGGCACTTATCCTGGTCTCCCATGGGGTGCAGGGCCCAAGGACTTGGGCCATCCTCCACTGCACTCCCTGGCCACAGCAGAGGGCTGGCCTGGAAGAGGGGCAACCAGGACAGAATCCAGCGCCCCGCCCGGGACTAGAACCCGGTGTGCCGGCGCCGCAAGGCGGAGGATTAGCCTAGTGAGCCACGGAGCCGGCCAAAATAAATAATCTTAAGATAATGTTTTGACAGGGCTGGCATGGTGTAGTGGGTAAAGCTAGGATCCCATATGGGCACCGGTTTGAATACTGGCTGCTCTACTGCCAATCCAACTCTCTGCTAATGTGCCTGGGAAAGCAGCAGAGGATGGCCCAAGTGCTTGGGCCTCTCCACCCACGTGGGAGACCGGGAAGAAGCTCTGGGCTCCTGGCTTCGGCTTGGCCCAGTCTTGGCCACTGCAGCCATCTGGGGAGTGGATTAGCAGATGAAAGATATCTCTAACTCTGTGTTTCAAATAAGTAAATAAATCTTTTATTTATTTTTAAATGTCACAACATGATATTTTATTTAAGATTTATTTTATTTATTTGAAAGTCAGAGTTACAGAGAGAGGGAGAGACAGAAAGAATTTTCCATCTGCTGGTTCACTTTCCAGATGGCTGCCAACTGTCAGGGTTGGGCCAGGCCAAAGCCAGGAGCCAGGAAGTTTTTCCAGGTCTCCCACGTGTGTGCAGGGGCCCAAGCCCTTGGGCCAGCTTCCCCTGCTTTCCCAGGCACATCAGCAGGGAGCTGGATTGGAAGCCAAACAGCCAGGATTCAAACAGGATCTCACATGGAATGCCCTCCCTGCAGGTGGAAGTTTAACCTTCTATGTCACAGCATCAGCCCCTGATAAACCTTTTAAAAAGATAATATTTTGAAAAGTCAAAGTTACTTTTAAAAATCCTTAAGTAATATCAAAATTTTAAATAAAGACTAGTGCTCCCAAAGAAACTTCAACATGGTACATGTACACTCAAACTTGAAATCAGAATTATTCAACCTATTAAAAAAATCTTCCAAGAAATTTACTCTACAGCATTTTGAACCCACTTGCTAAAGGAATAAAAATGCCACATCTGATTGTTATCAGGGAAGATGGAAACTTACTGGAATTTCAACAAAAACCTTTGCAGGCTTTGTGGCTGGAACTGATTTTTAAAAATGGGTGTTGGGTTGCTAAGAGCAGCTAAAGATGTACTTCTTCCATCAGTATCTACATCTTCGACAGTTACTTTTCTCAGCTAATGGCAGCCTGTGAACACCAAGTCCAGAAATAACCTGAACCGTGTGTGGAATCGAGTATTTTAATAACTGCTTTACAAAGTATTAAAGATTTTAAAAAACTAATCCAAACCAATCATAGTTGGCTAAATATTCTTTAGCGGGAGCAACAGAAATGTTTATGCCCTTAATATAATAAACTCAGTTTTTTAAATGTTTGTTTCATCTTTACCTTACCCGTTTACATTTTACAAAGTGCTGCACACAGCAGGAGTGCACAGCTGAGGTCAACAGGTGGATACCTTTTTCTGCCTTTGTAACAGAGGCGAAGGTCTAAAAGAAGTCTGGAGATCCCAGGTGCAGGTGGCTGACGCTGTGGGTGTTGGGAATCCGGCAGGATTGCGTTCGCCCAGCGCGCTCTGACAATCCTGCATCCATCATTGCCTTCGTAATGGAAGCACTAACGTTTGGAAAAACGACTGTTGCGAAATCTGCTTAACCTAACACGTAGCACAACGCTCTCTGTAGCTACAGGAGATTAAAGTTCGCTCATTTTCAAAGCAGAACGTCCGTCCATCGCAGGAACCTGGCCCCGTTGGAGAAGGACGCTCCCTGGAAGGGGGCGGGGATGGAGCTGGGGGACGCGGCCGGGGATGCCGCCACTTCACTGGGGCGAGGAGTGTTGCCTCTCCCAGTGGAAGATGGGCCCCGAGGTCCCTCCCGGCGGGATCGTGAGGAAGGTGGGGAGGAGGGTAAATACTACGCTGGCCCTTCTGACTGGACGGGCCACAGCCCTGCCCGAGGGCGGAGGCCGGGCGGGATCCCACGGTGCTCTCTCCTCCAGCAAGAGGCTGGGGTGTTTGAAGAGGACAGGACGTTCGGAAGCTGGACTGACTGGAAAGAAGCGTATGGACGGCGGGGCCAGCCAAGGGCCTTTCTGCTGGCGCCGCTTCCTGATGCGCAGGCACTCGGGAGAGCGGGGCATGGAGACGCTGGGGCCTGGCCTTTTCCCTGCCGACAGAGGGAGCCTTGAGATGCAAGGTCCTTCTTTTCTCTAACGAAAGGCGTTTGCAGGGCTCCTCGACCATTCTGTACATCCCGGGGCAGAGTAGACACCCAGGTGATTAAAAGTGTGCGAGCGACAACCACCCGGACGCCCTAAGCGCCGGGCTCGGCGCTCGCAGCCCCACGGGCCGAATTCTCGCGAGAGCGGTCGCCGCCATTTTTCCATTGATTGCAGCGGGCTGGGGGAGGGGCCGACGACGAAGGCGGCGGCGGCGGCGGCGGCGGAGCCCTGGGTAGGTGTCTGCGCGCTGGTGTCTGAGGCCCAGGCTGAGGCCTCCGCGATCGCCGGAGCGCAGGCGGCGGAGACGATGACCGCCGCTGCCGTTCTCTCCTGAGACAGAGCCGCCGCCATCCTCCCCCCTCCCCCGGCAGGGCGGAGAGGAGCGGCCCGGAGTCTGAGCGATGGTGCCCGGCGAGGAGAACCAGTTGGTCCCGAAAGAGGTGAGGGGCCAGCGGAGGAGGCTAGGCCCGAGGCCTGCGGCCGCTCGAAGCAGCGCAGGCCCGGGCGCGGGGCCGGCTGGATGCGGGCCGGGCTGTGGGGAAGGAGGCGGTGTGCGGCGGCGGCGGTCGGGGGCGTGGGGTGGGGGCGGCGAGCAGTTGGGAGACCCGCGGGATGCAGGGGCCGGCAGCGGAGACCTCCCCCCACCACCACCCCGCCTCGGGTTTGCTGGGCTGAACAAATAAAGGAGCGAACGGGCAGGGGCCAGGTCCTGGTTTGGGGGGCCAGCGGGGCTTTAGCCCTTATCTAATGCGTGGAGCCGAGACGGAGAGGGATCATGTCAAAGAAACCCTGGAACAGTTGCGGGTGGCACTACAGGGTGACGGTGCTGCTTCTGGTTTTGACAGTGGCCGGGGATGGCTTTCAAGGCTGGTGAAAGCTACACCCTAGTTGAGATCTGTGGGAGGGCAGAGTTAACTGTTACGACTTTTCTCAACTCCTGTTACTTCGTAGTACTATGGGCCTGCCTAACCGGGGCCTACCAAAGGTCGGGGCAAAGTAGTCAGTGGCACTTTCCTTTGCTGGTAGGGGACAGCCGAGCGCTGCCATATGGGGAGCTGCACTGTGTGTTGGTGGCTGGGTTGTGTGTGCCGATTGGGGTGGCTTCTTAAATTCTTAAAAGCAAGCGACATGAGAAGCCTTGACTTCTTGGCTTGTCTTGAATAGTAGTAGGAGATTAAGAGTAGACTCCATCCAGCACTGGCCAGTGAGTTTCAATATATTAATAGTATCTCTCTTGGCTTTATAAATATCTTAAGCGCATTCAAATGTGTATTTTTAACAGGCTGATCATCAGGCTAATGCTTTGGATTTTTATTTCTCATATACCTTAAATAGGCAAGTGTTGGGTTGAAATTAGCTCTGGAGGGTCTTGATATATTTATGAGTGATCGTTACAATTCTTAAATGTTTTTGCCTTGTAAAAGTTGTTTTCTAACAACTTGTTGATACTTCAGCAAGCTCTGACACTCTGTAAAAGTGGTATCATTGGAGTTACCTACTCGAATGAAACAAATATGTTCCCAGCCTGACCAGGTGGACAGTGATAGCTGTTTTGCAAGGATGTCAGTATTTTTTTCTCCCAGCATCACCAACTCTGCAAAGCAGCTAAACAGATGAATTGATCAGAATTCTTGCCTTGGTAGTTTGCTGAGCTCAGAGAGGGAACACCGGAATTCTTTGCACTCTGATTAGGAGCTTGGTACATTATACTGCATAAGTAATTCTTATGCAAGGAAGTGATAGTTGTATAAGAAAAGTATAAACATTTTCCTCTTGGAGCTGTATATTGGTGTTTTCGTTCTTTAAAAACAGAGTTTAATCCTTATTTTTTTTTCCATTAGAAACTACAGTATAGGTGGGACTTCACTATAAGAAAACACACCATTAGATTTGTTTTCCTAATAATTTATTTTATTTATAATTTATAATTTATTCCCCTAGTAATTCATAGAAAATGTGATATAGATAAATAGCTTCCAGGAATATATCTGTTGTGCAAAACTGATATTTCAATGCTGCCATTATCTCTTGGAAGTTTAAAGATTGAATGTTTCTCTTTCATTTCCCTTCTTTGATGCTTCAAGCTCATCACAACTTTTTGTTTTCCTTTCTACTTTTGGTAGACCATATGCCTTTATTTTCTATTCCTTAGTCTCCATTTCTTTCATGATTTCTAGACGCGTGCACAGTACTGTCAAATCTTGAGGCCGTTGCCTTTTTTAGCTGACTGGTTTTTCTTTCTTTTAATGGCCCTACTCATTCTTTGTCCAGCTGATTGCCTCCACTTCCATATTTGCTTCTGGAATCCTGAAAATATGTTCCTGAAGGTCACCAGTGATCTCTTAAATGACCAAATTCATTGTTTTTTTTTTTCCTTCTCTTTCTTCAATTATTTTTGTAGAATTTGATACTTAAAAAAAATCCTAGAGGTGTACATTTAGCCTGGTGGTTAAGATGCTCACATCCCATGTTGAAGTACTTGGTTTCCATAGGCATCTCTAGCTCCTGACTCTAGTTTCTTCTTAAGTCCAACTTCTCCAGACCCTGGGAGGCAGCAGTAATGGGATTAAGTAATTGGGTTCCTTACTCTCACAGGGGAAACCCAGTTTTGGCATGGCCAAATCCCATTCGTCCCAGGCATTGTGGGGTGAACCAGCTGATAGGAGCTCACGCTCTCTCCTCTCTCTCTTCCCCCCCCCCCCAAAAAAAATAAATAAGCAAGCCGTTCCTGGATTTTGATAATACTGCATGTTTCTGCCCATTTTCCTACCTGCTTGGAGTGTATGCCTACCCTTGTTTAGTCAGAGCCTTTCTTCTGTGTGTATGTATTCTTAATTATCACTTTTGGTTGATCTTTGATGTTCCCTGACTGGTGCTTTTACATAGTAGTGGAATCTTCCAGCGCTAAAGCTAATAGAGAGCATAGTGATCCGCTAGTAATTAAGCCTCTTAACTCTACAGATGAGGGGCTTTTGCTAGAGGATTGAAAGTGACTTGTTAGGGAACACATGAGGAGAAAAGGGCAGGGCTAAGACTAGAACTCCCATCCCTTGATCCTGTTCCTCAGTTCTACTGTGTTTTACAGATGCTTCCATGTAATGTAGAGGCGCTATAAGAATAGTTTTTAACTTCCTGGGTACATACAGTGTGTGAAATAAATTGCAGAATTAAAAATTTAAATTTAAAAATTTATTGCATCTGATTTAATTGCTTTTCATCAACAGTATTGAGGGGTGTTTTTTGCAGGGGGAGGTTCTTACGTCAATAACCTCTGACAGCTTACTACATTTAAATCTTGTTTAGGGGTGTGTATGTATGGATATGTATAGTTGTTGACTGAATAATACTGTGGTCCCTGAAGCTTAATGACAAATGTACCTTAAATGACTACTAAAGAAGGAAGCTTAGTGTAGTTAGGTGGTTGACAGACCACAGCCCATGGTACACATCTAACATGCATCCTGTTTTGGTGTGGACCATTAAGTGTGATCTTTACATTTTCAAATTGTTGAAGAAAAAAATCAAAAGAATAATATTGTGTCACACATGAAAATGCATGAAATTCAGAAGTCAGTATTGGAACCTTGCCATGCTATTTATTCACCATTTTCTGTGGTTACAGACACTTTCAGCGGAGTTGAGAGTTGCTCCAGAGACTTGTATGCAAGATAACTTTGAAACTACTTAGGTTGGTATTCAAGGCCCCAGTATAGTTGATTCTGGCCACAACCTGCCTTTCCAGCTTATCTCTTTCCCCATGAAACAAGTTTTTAATGTAGCCAAACAGGTTTCTCTCTCACTTGCTTTTCACTTTTATTTGTGCTGTACCCTCTTTCCTACTTCTCTGACCTACGTGTTCAGAACCTTCATACACATTGTTCAAATCGTACCTCATATCTTGCCTATTCTGAGAAGCCTTTTCTGAGTATTTTAACCGTAAGGATTTCTCAGTCAGCAGATCTTTATATGTGCATGGAATTCATTTGACAATTAATAACTAGTGCTTTGCAGCATCTATTGTGTTCTCAAACTGTAATGTACATTTTATATATTACTAGTGACGAATTCCTTGATTGAAGAAATCTTTGTGTCTCTCTTCTTTGTTTTATATTTTTGTGCATATTACAGGTCTAGGACAGCATCTTTCCTGAGCAGATGTTGAGAAAATACTTGTTGATGTGGTTATAGAGTTGTAAGGAAACTTAGATTTTACCCAAATTGTCTTCTGCTGGGAGGTTTTTCTCTCATCCCTGGCACGCTGCTTTCTGTGTTTGCTTGGAGGCCTTCGTAAATAATCTGTGATCCTATTTGTCTTAGAAGAGACCTGTTCGCTGCTTTGAGTTGCGAGAAGTCTAGCTCTCCATTCCTTCATCTTGATACTTGCCTCTGGAGGACACAGAAGCCTTTCAAGCGTTTTCCCTCGCAGAGGTTTTCTCATCACTGAAGATGGAGCAGGACTGCAAGAGGGCTAAAAACTTTCTCTGGTTTTTATTCTGAGCATTCTTAGTTCCTTAGTTGATCCTCAACTTCTCTCTTTTGGGCATAATGCAGCACTGTTAGTATTCCCCCTAAATTGTACTCAGAAAAGAGCAAAGAGGCCAGCGCCGTGGCTCACTTGGCTAATCCTCCACCTGTGGCGCCGGCACCCCAGGTTATATTCTCAGTTGGGGCGCCAGGTTCTAGTCCCGGTTGCTCCTCTTCCAGTCCAGCTCTCTGCTGTGGTCTGGGAAAGCAGTGGAGGATGGCCCAAATGCTTGGGTCCCTGCACCCGCATGGGAGAGCGGGAGGAAGTACCTGGCTCCTGGCTTCGGATTGTTGTAGCACCAGCTGTGGTGGCCATTAGGGAAGTGAACCAACAGAAGGAAGACCTTTCTCTCTGTCTCTCTCTCACTGTCTATAACTCTCTCTCTGTCTCTCTCTCACTAACTCTGCCCGGCAAAAAAAAAAAGAAAAGAGCAAAGAGAATGTGATCTGTTCATTGTGGTAGGCAACAAAGCACATCCCCTCAGTGTTTCACTCTGCTGTGTGTCTTTTTCCTTTTTTTTTAAGATTTATTTATTTATTTGAAAGTCAGAGTTACACAGAGAGAGGAGAGGCAGAGAGAGAGGTCTTCCATCTGCTGGTTCACCACTCCAAATGGCT